GCTCAGGCATATTAAGTGCTTTATTCAACGTACTACATTCTTACTCATTTTTAGTCTGCTTAATCTTTCAAATACTGAATGAGGTATGTTAAATTCTCCCACCATGATGGCAGATTAGACTTTTCTCCTTGTAGTTCTGCTGGGTTTTTTTTTAAGATTTTATTTTTTTAGAGCAGTTTTAGGTTCACAGCAAAATTGAGAGGGACGTACAGAGATTTCCTATATACCTCTGTGCCCCCCCACACATGCACTGCTCCCCCATTCTCAACATCCCAGACCAGAGTGTACATTCGTGACAACTGGATGAACCTACACTGACACATCATCACTCAAAGTCCATAGTTTACAGTAGGGTTCATTCTTGTACATTCTGTGGGTTTGGACAAATGTATAATGATATGTCTCCATCATTATAGTATCATAGAGAGTAGTTTCACTGCCCTAAAATCTTCTGTGCTCCACCTCTTCATCCCTTCCACCCCAACCCCTAGCAACCACTGATTTTTTGACTGTCTCCACAGTTTTGCCTTTTCCAGAATGTCATATCGTCGGAATCATACAGTGCATAGCCTTTTCAGATTGGCTTCTTTCACTTAGTAATATTCATTTAAATTCCTCTAGGTCTTTTCATGGCTTGATAGCTCATTTCTTTTTATCACTAATATTCCATTGTCTGAATATACCACAGTGTATTTCCCCTTTCACTATTGAAGGACATCTTGGTTGCTCTCGAGTTTTTGCAATTATGAATAAAGCTGCTATAAACATCTATGTGCAGGTTTTTCTGTGGACAGGATTTTTCAGCTCCTCTCAGTAAATATGAAGGAGTGCAATTGCTGGATTTGCTGGATTGTATGGTAAGAATACGGTTAGCTTCATACGAAACTTGCCTAAGTGTCTTCCGAAGTGGCTACGCCATTTTGCATTCCCACCAGCAATGAATGAGAGTTCCTGCTGCTTCACCTCCTTGCCAGTGTTTAGTGTGGTGAGTGTCCTGGATTTTGGCCATTCTAATAGGTGTGTTGCGTTATGCCAGTTTTTATTTTAGATGTTTTGGGCTATGTTATTAGACATATACAAGTTCAGAACTATGATATCTTCCCAGGGGATTAAATTTTTATGAATTTTGTAATGACATTCTTTTATCTATGATAATGCCTTTCATCGTCACGTCTAGTCTAATGCCAATAAAGCTATACTAGCTTTCTTTTGTCTATTATTGCCTTTTTAAAATTGCTTTATATATCCTTCTTCCATCCTTTTGCTTTCAACGTGTGTCTATACTTTTTAGGTTCATCCCCTGAAAATTACATATAACTGTATTTTGTTTTGTATACATTTTGGCAATTTCTATTTCTTAACTGATCAGTTTAAAGATTTTATAGTTATGACCACTGATAAACTTAGATATATTTTTACCATCTTATTTTATGCTTTCTATTTGCCTTCCTTTTTAATTTTTTAAGTTTCTCTATTCTCTTTTCTGCCTTCCTTTGAAGTCATTTAAAAAAAAATTCCATTCGGGGCGCCTGGGTGGCTCAGTCGTTAAGCATCTGCCTTCGGCTCAGGTCATGATCCCAGTGTCCTGGGATCCAGCCCTGCATCGCATCGGGCTCCCTGCTCAGCGGGAAGCCTGCTTCTCTCTCTCCCTCTCCCACTCCCCCTGCTTGTGTTCCCTCTCTCTCTGTGTCTCTCTCTGTCAAAAAAATAAAATCTTTAAAAAATAAATAAATAAATAAATCTACATTAAAAAAATATTCCACTCATTTTTTTCTCTGCTGGTTTGAGGTCATACATACCATTTCTGTTTTTTTTTTAGTGGTTATCCTTAAGACCTTTACATGCATATTTAACAAAGTTGCTCAGTATGTCTACTCTCTTCCCAAACAACCATCCTCACCTTACATCTTAATGTTGTCCAATATTGTAGCTCAGTCCACCTTTTTTTGCTTCCTATATTAACATAATTATCAATCTATGTTTGTTTCTATTTTCCCAAATATTTTCTGATTTTTTTTCTGCTCACCATATTTCCTTGCATTTCACACCCTTCTGGGATCATTTTCCTTTTTCCTGCAATAGATCCCTTAGAATTTCCTTTAATGGAGGAATGTTGGTGGCAAATTCTCTAATCTGTTGTTTATTAAAACTTTTTGTTTCACCTCATTCTTGGAAGATAATTTTGCTGAGACTAGAATTCTAGAATGGCAGTTCTCCCTCCCCACCACTCCCCCTTCTCAGTGTGTTAAAATACTATAGTAGTACTGTAATCTGGAATCACTGTTGCTGTTGAGAAATCAGCTGTCAGTCTAATTGTCCTTTTGGGGGATTTGTCTTTTCTTTCTGACAGCTTTTAAGATCTTCTCTTTTTCTTGGTATTCTATAGTTTCAGAACAGCTCTGGGTGTGTATCCTGTTTACTTAATTTTCCTTGGATTGTTGGGCTTCCTGGGTTAGAGTATTAGTGTTTTGTAATAGATTGGAAACATCTCAACTGTTATATCTTAGAACACTGCTTCGATCCAGTTTTCTCTGGTATCTCCTCCATCTTCCATGCTGCTTAACCTGTATTTTATATTTTCTGTCTTTGGCTCAACGAACTATCTTCTAGATAATTTGTTCATTAATTCTCACATCGTCTGAGTCTAACGCTTACTGTTTTCATTTTAAAATCAATCTTTTCATTATGTTTGTGTAAGTTATATTTGGTTCTTCTTCAAATCTTCTTGGTCATTTTTATGCTTATATTCCTTCCCCATAGTTTCAAGCTTCTCTTTAATGTCTTGAAACATATTAAATATACTTTATGTTCTCTGTATGATAATTCCCATGTCTTTAATTTGCAAGTCTGGTTTTACCCGCTATTGGTTAGCTGGCTCTCACTCACAGTGTCTTATTTCCTTGCATGTTTATGACTTTCTGGCTGTGAGGTCATGCTCCGTGACACTTTACCAATGGAATTTCTTTGAGGCCTGGATTGGAGTTGTGTTTCTCGGACAAGATGTATATTTTCCTCTACTAGTTAACTGGAGGTACTCTCAACCAGGTACCACTTAATATATAAATGATCTGCTTTAGGTTCTTGAACCACAGAGGTAGCTTAGTTCAGGTCTTGCACCCACAGTAGAGCAAGCTTCTTACAAATTCTCAGGGAAGACTTTATCCCTTCCACCCAGCACCAAGGTCAAGACAGGCGAGATTTGTGCTGCCCTTCTTTGTGGCACATTTACTTTTTGTTCACCCTTATGATTGGGTCGGGCTGTTTGAATCCCAGCTTTAAGTAGGGAATCTCCTACTAGTCTCCTCACACTGGGTGGGTCCAGGCCTTATCTCTGGGCTCCTCTGTTGCACCAAGCGCCCAGACTGATACTGCAGACTCACCCGGGTTTGATTTGGCAGACAAGGCAAAAGCTGACTTCAAGCTCATTTCCCCCCGAGGATTACTATTTTCACTGTGCTTTCGTACTCAGAATTCTTACTTTCTTGCCAACTCAATGCATTTGAAAAGATACGTTCTATTTTTATTCAGCTTTGGAATGACTTTTCATTGGGACATTTACTATGATACGCCCAGACATGGAGGTTTGGGTATTTTTCTAGAAGACCCTTTCACTGAGATGTGTCCACGGCAGTGGGACCTCTGAGGGCCCCCAGTTGATGATATGGGGATCTCAGTTCCAACTCCCTCCCTCGGATGGGCCCAAGACTTGTTTTCTCTCTTGGGTGCAACAACCGGAGCTCAAGGATCTGTATTGCAGCCAATGTTCATGAACACCTTTAGGGGAGCAGTGGCTTCAATACCCATTTGGCCACTGCAGATTACGGACACCAATCAACTATGTAGACTAATGATATCTATTGGGGCCACGTATGCAGAGAAAACTGAAGACAGTTTCTTTTTTTTTTTAATATTTTATTTATTCGAGAGAGAAAGCACAAGCAGGGGGGAGTGGTAGAGTGAGAGGGAGAAGCAGACTCCCCGATGAGCAGAGAGCCCCATATGGGGCTCAATCCCAAGACCCCGGGATCACGACCTGAGCCGAAGGCAGACACCCAACCGACTGAGCCACCCAGGTGCCCTAAAGACAGTTTCTATGCCTCTCGGTAGCTTCACCTTCTTGTAGACTTCCATGTTTTGTTGCTTCTTCCTCAAGGCGGGTCTGCTTGCACAGCTACAACTGGCCTCCCACATGCATCTTCCCATGGGCCGGATGCTCCCCTGCCCTACCCCACCTCTCTGAAGCAGTTGATGTCCAGCCTAGCAGTGCTTCTGCACCTTGTTAGAGCCATGGAGCTCTTTGAGAATCTGATGAAAGCTATAGACATTTCCCCAGGAGACTTCCGTGCCAGCCAGAATGTCCAAGACCATGACAGTTTCCTGATCCTCTGCACCTGATGATTTATCTTCCTAGATATGGGGATGGGGTCTCAGGCCTCAACTGTGGTGGGTGTGTGCTTCCTTAGGAATTCGTTATGATAACGTACATCCCACCTGGGACTAGTCAAGTAAGCTTCATGCTCTGTGCTGACTTATCCTTTCTCTGACTGTTTTCATATAACCAAGGGCTTGCATTGCCAATGGGCCTGCAGTATAGGTCTAAAGGAAAGTTTTTGTTTTTTCTTTTCTATTGGGATTTCCCAAGAGAAAGGAATAGGTCCTGGGGCCACCGTTGGTTTGACTCTGATTTGTTTCAATCCTTACCTGAGTTTAGATCTGTTTCAAGGAGTCTGAGCCTTTACCGATTTGCTCTTGGCTGAGTTTTAATAAATACAGGCTAATAATAATCTGCCTCTGTGTAAGTCATGGTCTTTTTGTGACCCTCTGCATTTCTGATTTGGCCTTTTTCTTAATGTCTCGGAGCTAGTTTCCATCTGCAAAGTGAGGGACTGGACTGGAGTAGATGTACTTGAACTGCACTTCTCCGAGCACCTCGGACTAGGGGGGCGGGGATGTGGTTGGGGGATGGGCAGGGCACTTCAGTAGGGTTGGGGGTGATGGGTGTGGGGAGGGGCTCCTGCCCTCAGAGCTGCTTCCACCACAGCAGGTCTGATTTACGTGCTTTACACACTGGGTCCGGAGTAAGATCTGTTTTGGACAAATTCCACAGGGGATGGCTGATGTCTATGCGGGCCTCCTCCCTGAGCAGGAGTCCTGTCACCTGGCTGCAGGTGGAGGCAGGGAGCAAAGGCGTGCCTGTCTAACCCTCCCATCCCCCGACTCTGTGGCAGACCTCCCTTCCCCTTGACTCCCTGACTCTGTTCCTAGTTCCAGTTCCAGCAAGGATGTTGTTACCTTTGGCAATGAGAATGTTAGTGCTGCTGCCCCTGACTCAGGCCGCGCCCAAGGATGGAACCGTGAGGTAATGGGCCTCAGAGGGCAGGGCCATAGGCTGGGATATGGAGAGTCTCTGGAGAATCTGAGGGTGTGCTGGGCCCCTCTGGGAGGCAGGAGCCTAGGGTGTATGCTCCCTGAGCTCCGTATCCGCCCCCCTCCCCCAGTTACTGCCATCTCTGTGCCCGTAGGGGCACCCTTCGCAGAGTGGGCACCCGGTGCACCTTTGCTGGGATCAGCTCATCGGGGATCCGGGGACTCCGTTCCAATGGGGTGTGAAGCTTGGGAAGAAGCTGCGCTTCTCTTCTCAAGACCTTATGTGGGAATGCCAGAGCCTCGGAGATCATTAGCAGACCAATTCGGGGTTGTGTGCCCAGCCGTCTCAAGGGTTCCGGTGTGAGGAGCACACCGCGGGTCCGCAGGCTGGGGTCGGGGGACAGATATAGGGAGAGCAGCAAGGCTGGCCGCGGGGACAAAGGCTGCTGCCGAGGCTCCTGCCAGCCATCTGGCCTCACAGGTCTGGACTGATCTGGGCAAACAGGCAGCCCCGTCCAGAACTGGGAGCAAATCTTGGGCTTGGAGGACTGAGAAAGAGAGCCTGAGCAGATCAAAACTCCAAAACCAACATCTATGCCCTCAGCTTGCGTCATGGAGCAAATCCAGTCTGCGGAAACCTGGGCAGTGCCTCGGGGCTGAGCCACAGACCTGCCCCTCGGGCCCGGCCCCAGAGCAGAGGGGTGACCGCGAGCCCCGCTGTCCGGACACCCACTCACTGTTTTCTTGGGTCTCCAACTTGTATCTACTAGGTGTGGCCTCATCTGGCCTCTGTCTAACCAGGTGCTTTATTTATCCCTTAACGTCTAAGTTAGGAATCTGTAAGAACAGTCTGAGGGAGTCAGGTTCTGCTTCTAAGACCAGAAGGGCCTCCTCCCCACAAGGTGTTTGGGAATTTGAGAGAACAACGCCCTTTGGGTCTGGGGAGAGAACTCTGCCAGGAGCTTGAGGGGGGAAGGCTGGTAGGCCAGATCCTCAGGGAGGCTCTTGGCAAGCCTGGCCCTTCTCTTCCTCCTCCAGCCTGGACCCCGAGGTGCAGCAGCTGCCCCTGTCCAACCCCTTCCAGCCAGGCCAGGAGCAGCTTCGGTGAGTGGGCTGGGCGGGGGTTGGGGGGTGGGCCTGGGTCTGCACACTGGCCTCTCCGGGCTTACTTTCCCCGTTTCTGCCAGGCTTCTGCAGAACTACCTACAGGGACTGGAGAGAATGGAAAAGGAGCTGGAACACATGAGCCGGGAGCAGGGTGAGGGGCTGGGCCCCGGGGCCAGCGGGCAGTGGGCTCAGGGGCAGCAGAGCCGAGACTGACCCCCGGCTGTCAGTTGTCCCCTGCCTCCTCCACCTGTTCCTGGTGCCTCTTCTGATCTGGCTTCTCCTCCTTAGTTCTCCTCTACCTCTTTGCCCTCCACGACTATGACCAGAGTGGACAGCTGGACGGCCTGGAGCTGTTGTCCATGTTAACTGCAGCTCTGGCGCCCGGAGCTGCTGATTTTCCTATCGCCAACCCGGTAAGCCCTGCTGGCCGGAGGGCCCCTTCTCCCACGAAGGAGACTCAGCTTCTTGGGGCTTTAGTCTTTTTCATCATGACTCTTTTGATGAATCCACGATAAAAGAAGTGCCCTGAGCCTGCCTGGCAGGGACGTGGGGAGGTGTTGGGAGGGTCAGGGCTCCTGGGAACATCTCTGTCTGCTGCAGACTCTCCAGCAAACGTGTGCTTCCACAGGTGATCCTGGTAGTGGACAAGGTGCTCGAGACCCAGGACCTGAATGGGGATGGGCTCATGACCCCTGCAGAGCTTATCAACTTCCCAGGAGAGGCCCCAAGGCACACAGAGCCCAAAGGGCCCCCGGAGCCACAAGATGTTGGGAGGCAGTCCCCGTTAGCTAAAAGCCCGTCCAGACAAGAGCTGCAGGGAGCCCTGGGTCCCAGAGAAGATGGGGCACAGGTAGAGGCCACAAGGGAGTCCTTGGAGCCTGTACAGGAGGCTGGGGGACAGGCAGAGGCTGAAAGAGAAGCCCGAGGCCCTAGAGCAGAGGCTGCGGGCCAGGAAGAGGCCAGCGACGCTGGAAAGGACGCAGAGGAGCATCCAGGGGAAACACTGGAGTCCAAGAACACCCAAAATGAGTTCGAAGTTCATGTTATTCAACTGGAGAATGATGAGATATGAACCTTGAGGCTAGAGATTTGCACCCCTAGAAGTCTCAGCACCGGAACATAAGCCCCAAAGAGTGGGCTGTGTATGCTGGGTGTATGTCTGCTTCCTGGCCCCCGGAGGGGCAGGTCTTTCTGTGCAGCTCAGGGAGACCCGAAGTTGAGGGGGCAGCTTTAGGGCCCAGATAACCAATAAAGAACTGAATGAACTCATCTGCTTGGACCATCTACTTACTGGTTTGGCCGGTCTGGCCTCAGGGACACAGGGGGTTGGGGACTGGACAGGCTTCTGGGAGGGGCTTCGGCTTCCCCCGTGTTCCCAGAGGGTGCTGAGACAGCAGGGGACAGCACCAGGGCCCAGCTGCAGACAAGCTGGGGAAGAGAGCGCAGCCTCTCGCTGGGGCCCAAATGCCCCTCTTCCCCCTCCCCTGGGGTTCAGACACCCAGGACCCTCCTGCAGCTCCGAGCCGGTCCTCCCCACCACCCTGTAGGTGCCCTCCCCGTAATATTAACAAGAACGGCCATTTACTGAGAGCCGAGTACACACCAGGCGTCATGCTGGGCATTTTCTCCATTGTCTGATTGTATCCTCACGATAATACCACCAGGCAGAATTAGCTCCATTTGACAGATGAGGAAATTGAGGAAGACCGAGTCACTAACGTACCCAAGGTGACACTGCCAATTAAGTGGCAGATTTGAATTCAGGTGTGTCAGACTGCAAAGCCCATAGTCCTTAGCACATTCTGTGGTCTCACACACCCTGCCCCAACTCCCATATGAAAACTGGCCAATTCCAATATGCCCTCAGCCCTGATCTCCCCCAGGGACATGGACACTTAGTCCTGGGGCACATCTGTGGCCAGGGCACCGCCTTAATGACAAGGCGGCTCCAAGGGAGGGGCTTCAGGCTCTGGGACAGTCACAGGGGAGATATTTTTGGACCATGAAGTCGCCACCAAACCACAGAGGCCCACTGGCCTGTCAGGTTGGCTCAGCCGTGTGGACAGTCCTGGTGCCATCAGACTGGAGTCTTGTGACAGCCCAGGGGCCCAGAGGAGATTTTCTGGTGGCTTATTATTTGGAAGGTTCCCTGGGGTACGAGGAGATACGTGTCCCCCCCCAGCCAGGAAGGCTCAGGGTCTCTGCCCATCCCCTGTGGCTCCTCTTCACCAGAACCAGCTGGGCCTCCAGCAAGGGCACGGCTGGTGGCAAGTCGGGGGTACTTCCCGCTTCTCCAGTGTAGGCCGCCCCTCCTCCGGGCCTACGCAGGGAGGTTACTTTGAGGAATAGAGAAAAAGAAGGTGACGGGTTGTAGCCTCAAAGCCTCTGGCATCCCCAGCCAGAGCGGCTCAGACATCAAGGACAAACAGACTGGCAGAAGGAAGCCGGCTCTGGGGCAGGAGATTTATTTCCGGCGGCTTGGTGGTGTGAGCCCCCAGGACACAGGGGGAGCGCCCTCCACAGGCAGTGCGGGCGCCAGGCTGGATGGAGGCGCCAGCCTCCAGGGAGGGGGTGTGTGAGCCAGGGCCCCCTGCCACAGGGCAGTCACACGATGCCCTCAAAGCCCTGCAGGCCGCACTTCTTGCCGGCCACCTGGCAGCCAAACCTCAAGGCCTCCTGCATACTCTTGCCTGGAGGGACAGAGAGCTGGATCAGCCCGGTCCTCTGCGCAGGGGCAGGCCTCAGCCTGGCGCCTCCTGCCGGCGTACTCACCCTGGGACAGGCTGAATATGACCGAGGCGTTGAAGGTGTCTCCGGCCCCCAGAGTATCCACCACCCGGGGTGGAGGGAAGGCGTCCGAGTGGAGCAGCCGTCCATCAGGGCCCAGTGCATCAGCGCCCTCCTCAGCCCAGGCGCAGACCAGCATAGCCCTGCAAGACCCTCCACTCAGCTGGGTCGTCATCCCGCCCCTGGCCCCCAGCCTCATCCCCCTCCTCAGGGCAGTGCCGCCCCCTCCCCGCGTCCAGACTCACTGGTTCTCCACACCTAAGGCCCCTTCCTGGCTTCCCCCTACTCACCCTTTCCTCACACGACCGTACAAACCCCTCAGGGCCTCCCCCGCTGACCGGAACCCCAAGTGCTTGGCCACATCTTTGCTGACAAACACCTGTGGGCAGTGGAAGAGAGGCTGACGGTCCCCCAAACCCAGTCCCCGCTCAGTCACTCACCACCAGCAGCCTAGCGTTGCCCCCATATTATAATGCCACTCCTCCAACATGTTCGCCTAAATCCCCAACGTAGCATCTCACTGTCCCACGGGAATGCGTTTTCACACTTGCTCAAGATATGCTAGAAGCCAGCCCTGTAAATTGTGGCACAAAAGTCCCTGGTTTATTTGGTCTGAGATCAACGAATGTCCCTGCAATTGAAAATCCAAAGCGAGCCTTGAGCGCCATCTTGCGGTGAAAGCTACCGCTGCCAAGTTACACCCCCGGCTCTCAGGAGCGGTTTGCTTTGTTTTCCTGGTACAACTATGCCCTCCGGGCCAGGTTTCTTCACCTTTAAAATAAAGGGCCAGGGGTTGTAGAGCTTCCTCAACACCAGCTACACGTTAGAACTGCCAGAGGGACGCGATCCCAGGACCCCGGGCTGCTTCTCCCTCTCCCACTCCCCCTGCTTGTGTTCCCTCTCTCGCTGTGTCTCTCTGTGTCAAATAAATTAATAAAATCTTAAAAAAAAAAAAAAAAAAAGAATTGCCAGAGGGAGTTTTGCTAAAAAATACTTCAGCTGAGCTCCACCCTCACCAATCAAATAAAAACCTGCCGTGTGGCTCAGGCATCCACACCTCCGGGCGGCCACGGTGGAGGCCCAACCAGCTTGGGCTATGATGCTAGGATTGTCCCTCAGAACTCATTTCCATCGCAGCACTACCCGAATTTACCTTATGCAAGTCCCCTTCCCATCCTCCCTCACCCCTCGGTGGCTCCCACAGCCCGCCACCCACCCCAGAGTTGGAGGACACCCGGGAGAACTGTCCTATTCCCTCATTTGACAGGGGGAAAGACGGAGGAGGCCCAGAGAGGAAATGCTCCCATGCCGGGTGCGCTGGCTGGCTCTAGGAGCCCTCTGGCCACTCTCGTACCCGTGCACCCACTGGGATGGAGAAATTTTTCTCCATCGCCACCACTGGGGCCTGCAAGGGAGTCCAAAGCTGGGGGCCTGCCTCTTTGCCCCCCACCTGCTAATGACAGCAAGCCATTCCAGGTGTGGTAGGCATTCCCGGTAACCAAGGGAACGCTTGGTTCCTTTTAAGACCTAAATGAGAGGCGCCTGGGTGGCTCAGGTGATGATCCCGGGGTCCTGGGATTGAAGCCCCCCACTCCCACTCTCCGCTCAGCGGGGAGTCTGCTCTCTCTCTCACTCTCCCTCGGTGCGCTCTCTCTCTCTAATAAAAAAAAAAAATCTTAAAAAAATCCACAAACCCTAAATGAGCTGCATGTGGCAAGGGGAAGCTGCGTGGGCCACTCACCACATCTCCATAGCCAAACAGTTGGAACAGCTCCTCTCGGGGCTTCTCCACCTCCACGGACACTCGGATCTTCTGACCCGGAGGCTGCGTGGCATTGTGCTGTTCTATCCGCCGCAGCATCTTCACCTGCTCTGAAGCGTTCCGGCCCTGGGGCGGGGTGGGGCGGGACGGGGCAGCTCAGGGCCAGCTGGGCAGAGCAGCTGCTCTGGCTTCTTCTTCCCTCCCTGCTGGTGGGCGAGGGGGGACTGGGCCGGAACGCCATCCGAAGTTTCAAAATTCTAGAGCGGTCATGGACCTTGGAGACCTTATTGACCACCTCCCAGCCCCACCCCCACCCCCGCCATTTCACCGACGAGGAGACAAAGGAATAAAAGAGAGACTTTCCTAAGGACCTATGGTGAATTAAATGACAAGGCTAGGATTAGATCTCAGGCCTTCTCCGAGTGTGGAGGAGGTGGGCAGCCTGGGACACAGAAAGTGTGGGCCTTTGCCTGGAGCCAGCATCCTGCTTCTGGTGCCTACATCCTGCTGTGTGAACCCGAGTAAGGTGCTTTCTGGGCCTTAAAACACACAGCAAGCTGGAGCGGGGACGAGGGGGGTTGGAGTCCTTTATCTTGACGTACTTCGTGGTTCAAAAAAACGAAGAAGAAGGCAGAATACGTGAAGGGGCTGGCAGGTTGAGCCCCTCAAAACACAGGTAGGGCAGCACTTGCCTCAATGTGGATCCACTTGAACCGGGTCAGATCAACCTTATCAAAGTCTGTAGCAGACACATCTGGCAGGTTCCTAAGTCACAGGACAGAAAGGAGAGAGAAAAGGCCTGGTGAGGTGAGCCCGGGCCCGGATCTCTGACTGGCTGCCGGGGCCCTATCCCTGGTGCTGCCTGCTGCGTGGCCAGACTGGATCTCCAACACGGCCTTCTGAGGCTCAGCTCCAGGACAGGCCCCGTTCCAGGCTAAACTCCTGACCACTCCTTCCAGACAGGGGGCTGGAGGCAGTCTGCCAGGGTGCCCTTTGGGGTAAACTCAACGGCAGCATGGGTCAAGAGGCCAGCTGAGTGTGCCTTGGGGACCACACCTCCCAGAACGCTCTAAGAGCACCAGGGACTACAACTCCTAGAATCCCCCCTCGCCAGTGGCGCACGTGCTCCCAGCATGCAGTGCCCCGGCGAACTACAAAGGCCACGGCTGCTCTGGGCCTGGTCCCGTTCACTTCCGGTGCCCCAGCAGTGACCGCACGACTGTTCTAAGCTTGGCAGCTCCATGTTGCAACCCTGCGGTCAAGGTTGGTGCTCGAGGATGAGTTTGCAGTTCCGCCGACTCAGGTGTAGAGCCCCGGGAAGACCTACACCTAACCTATGTCCTCCCCTCCATGGTCTGTAGCTGAAGCGATCTAATTAGCTGTGTACCTGGGCCTTTCTGAGGCTGCTTTGCCATTGGTAGGTGGGTCCAAACCCACCAGCCTGCTGCAGTTGGAGGTAATGTGTGTGGATATGCTCGCACTGGGGCCAGGGGGCAACAAATGTTTCTCCTCTGAGCTCCTCTCCTCTTCCTGTGAACACCCATGTGGTGTCCTTGATCAAAGTTGCTACAGATCGTTGCTTAATGGGCAGATGGCTAGGACCGCCCAAGGAGAAGGTCATTGCCAGCACATATGCCCCCTGGGACACACGGAGCCCAGAGACCACCGGCCATAAAGCTTGTCCTAGTATAGTTGCCCCCTCTCCCCCAGGTCCAGGAGTCATCTGGGCGGTAGGGACAGCCTGAACCCCAGGGCTGCTGGGTCTGGACCGCCTGAGCCCTAACACAGTACCTGGCAGACACTAGGTCCTTAGTAAACTAAAGGTCTGAGATTCTTCAGGAGGGACTCTGGGAGACATGGGAAGGGCCTGGGTCCACAGGGCCTCTCCCTAGTAGCTTGGGACTTTAAAGGGGATCCCTTCCCCTTAATTAACATGGCATCTGATGGCCTTGATCTCCGGACCCAATGTTCCCCTTCCCGCTGCTTCAGCGATGCCTGTGAATTGTGTGTGGCTTCATCACGCCGGGACCTTTGTGGTGGGCTCATCTCTTCTGAACACCCAAACCCAGCTCCTCAGTGCCATGCTGCAGGCTGGCAACTCTGGGGCTGACCCTGGAAATTCCAGTGGGTCCCCTTCAGGGCTTAAGATGGCTGGAATCACATGTCCCATCCACCCCTCTCTCCTCAGAACAATTTCCCCACACCCACTCCCAGGCTGCTGATTGACCAATTATGAAGGAATCACATCATGAATTATGTTCTGCACAGGCTTGCCTGCCCATCCTGGGTGTTGACCAAGGCCAAGGCACCAGGCAGAGCAAAGCACATCTCTTCCCCCCTCACTTCTCCCCTAATTGAAAACAACTGAGAAATCACTGAACAGTTTGGCATGGGCACAATTTCCGGTACAAAGAGAGGCGGCAGAGAGCAGGCAGCTGGGATGCCCGGGGTGGCAAGCGAGGGAACTGATTGGTGGGCTGTGCGAGGGCGAGGCCAGGGGGCCTTACGTGTCGTAGAGCACAATGGTGCGGGAGCCAGTGGAGTTGTTGACGATGCAGCAAGAGCACGGGGTCTCCCCTCTGCTCTGCCAGGCCACCTGGGACACATCCACGCCCCGCTGCCTGAAGTCAGCCACCAGGAAGCTTGGGGCGGAGCCCGAGCCAAGGGAAGGGCAAGGAGACACAGATTAGAGCCTACAAGCGGCCTGGACCTCCTGCAGGGATGGGAGGGGTGCTGGAGCCCATGGGCCTCTCAGAGAAGAAGGGTCCTGTTCCGAGAGTTAGTGAGGCGGCGGCAGCAGCGGCTGGCAAGGCGCAGACAGGCGTACAAACCTGTAGGCATGGAGGATGGTGCGGCTCCCAGTGGCCTCGCTGATGATGACCGTGGAGATGGGGACAGAGCCCGTGGTCTGGGAGACTGTGTAGCGTAGGTCCACGGAATAGCGGCGGAGGTCATCCTGGACAAAACTGCCGGGACGGAGTAACCCGCGGGGAGGTGCGGCTCGACAAAGGTTTGGGGACTGGAGGGCCGGTGGCAGGGCCGCTGCGGACCCTGGATGCAAGCGGGGGAGTGGGGGGCGGGAAGGAACCGGAAACCGCCTGCTGTCCCAGGAGGTGCAAGGGCGCAGGAGAGGCGGGGGCGCGTAGCTGGAACTCAGGGAGAAAAACACTAAGGGACATTCTTTTAGATCCTGATTGAAGTAAACTCCAACCCCGAACCTGGCCTCCGGTCTGACTCAAGCCAGAAAGGATGTGCTGAAATTCATTAAACTGGCTGGGGCAGACCAGGGGCCTGGAGCATGTACACCCTGTTTGAACAAAGCAGGTGAGGGCACCGTGGCCTGTTTCATGCAAAGCCTAGGCAGAATTAATAATTACCAAGGTGGTACTTTGTTCCCCGGCTGCCCTCTACACACTCATCCTCACGGTACTCTTCTCTCTGAAGGCCCTTGCGGGGCCAATGTCACTCGACCCCTGCCTCCACGATGCCCAGCCAGGAAGCGGTGCGGCCTTGGTGAGGCCACTCATGGGCCCCTGGCTCTCGCGGCAGGGTGAGCCCTCCAGGCAGCGAGCTGGCTCCCAGTGCCTAACGCTCCTCAGAGTGGGCCTGGTCCGGGACTCTCACCCCAGAATCTCCTCCAATCAGAGTGAGCAGGAGGTGGCCCCTTGGGGAGACTGCACCCACAGAACAAGGGGGCCAGCCCCACGTTTCCTGGCCCTCGCTGGAGACAGCATCCTGTGACCACTAGTCCAGCCACCATCCCGACCTTTCTCTCTATGGCTGGACCCCACTTTTGGCAACACCAAAGCTAGACAATACAGACTTGTATATAGGTACCAACTTGGGGCATTATTCCTCATCTTACACCTCAAGGATCCTTTAAATAGTAACTTTCCCAAAGCATCCCAACTACGGTTTGGTTTTCCAAATGACTTTTTGCACCCACAGTGCCTGGCACATGGTAGGTGCTCATTAGATGTTTGTTAAACACATGGGGAGAAGTTGGAATGGCCCACCTCCCGGCATTATCATTCCATAAATGGATAATATCATTCCATAATATGGAATGGCCCACCTCCCGGCATTATCATTCCATAAATGGATAATATCATTCCATAA